AATGATCTGTCCAGTGCAGCTGCGGGCTCCAGAGCCAGAGAGAGCCAGGATAGGGAGGGGAGGGGTTCTTCATTTATAATACGGGAATTAGAATGCTTTCCTTAGAGTGTGGTTGTAAAGGTGGCGATAAAGGGTCTGCCCCGGGTGTCTGGCATATTAGAGATACCTCATAAGTGTTGTCATATGAAGGTATAAAGGTGTAAAGGAGAGGCCACCCAGTAGTGCAGCGGTTAAGAATGCACGTTCTGCTTCAGCAGCCTGGGCTTTGCCGGTTTGGATCTCGGGTGCGGACATGGCAGTCCTTGGCAAACCATGCTGTGGTAGGCGTCCGACACATAAAGTGGAGGAAGATGGGTACAGATGTTAGGTCAGGGCCAGTCTTCTTCAGCAAACAGAGGAGGATTGGCGGTAGATGTTAGTTCAGGGCTAATCTTCCTCAAAAAAAAAAAAGCATAAAAGACCAGCAAGATGCCTAAAGACTAGGGACTTGGAAGCTAACAAAGAGGAGCGGGTAGAAGGAGGGACCTGGTCAAGAAGGACTCCAGTGAGAAGGCAGCCAGTGACTCCTCATCTAACCTCCTGTCATAAAATCCTGGGGGCGCTGATTAAAAATATGGATTCAGGCCCTGGGCATTGGGATCAACAGCTCCAGGGGACTGTATTTTCATGCTCTTTAGGACTGTAGGGTGCCCGGTATTGACTGGTTTGTCATACATCATATTCCAACGCTCCAATGATCTTCTCAGAGAACAAGAACAGCCCCAGAGGCGAACACAGGGTAGAACTGATGTAATTACAACATACATCAATGCAAAATGATCTGGGCAGTGCAGCTGTGGGCTCCCCAAGCAAGATAGAGCCAGGTGGACGGGAGCTCAGTAGGATGGAGGCAGAGAGGGGGGAGAGGAGATGGCAGGGAAGGAGAAAGGGAAGCTGAGTTGGGAGCTAATAGAGCTCAGGAAATGAGGACCAGGTAAACCCAGCCATCTAACAGGGATTCTAGATCATTTTAGAACTTGCAACATCATGGTGTTAAACCAGCTGACTTGTTTCTCCATCAGCTTTCATCACAGATGAAAACAGTGGCTGCTCACATCAGGGGGCAGAAGGGCCGGGCAGGGGCCAGCTCCAAGTAGGCGGCAGGGTCTACAGCAGCCTGGGGGCCTGTATGGGAAGAGGTTCTGGGGTTCTAAGAAGCCAAGGAAACTTAGGCCAGTCAGGGTGCTGGTTGTGGTACCTTGGCTCCTTTTCTGCGGCACGTGTGTGGCTGCTCCAGACCCTTGAGTTCTCAAGGTGACAGTGTGTGGCCTGTGGGGTCCTCCTCCCAGAGTTCAAATTCCAGCTCTGGCACTTAGGTCAGTACTAGCATTTAGCAAATGCTCATAGATGCTGGCCATTATTCTTATCTCTTCGGCGGAGGACAGACCCAAGCTGATGGAAAGAAAAGTCTTCCTCCCACCCCTACCTCATCCCCAAACTCAATTCTGCGTGAGTGCCCTACTAGTTCTCCTCAGAGTTGAACTAACAGTGTGCGAGGCCGTGAGCCAGGGTCCTGCCTTCATACATCTGAGTAATGTTTGGTTGAGCGTCCGCTGTGGTCCAGGGACTAGGGTAGGGAGAGTGTGGAGGAATAGGTGGCTCAGTTCAGGGACAACTGGACCTCGGAGGGCCTCTTCATCCCCCTGGCCTCCCCTCCTCTAAGCAGTTGCTTCACCTGACTGGAAGAGGCCTGAGGTCTGGGGCGGGGACCTCCTGGTGGGGCTGAGAGTGCGAGTTCCCTCTCCTTCAGGGATACACACACTCCCCCGCAGGGCGCTTTCCAGGCTGAGTGGTTGCTGTAAGAGTGCCCAGAATTCAGAGGAGGAAACACCCGAAGTACCTGAGCAGAGTGAGAAGACAGCCATGCAGCTCTCGCTCCCTCCTTGCCCAAGTGGTTTGGTGTGAAACCAATAGGTCTGTTATCTCCTTTGATCAATCCGGCCCTCACCTCATTGGGCCTCTGATTGTCGTGCTCAGGCTCCAGTTTTTACAAGTGTCAAGGCTCATATCCTGTTGGAAGCTCTCTGCCAGCTCCTTTCTGTGAAGAGGGGTTAGTCCAGGTGATAAAACCTGTCTTTCCTCCCCAAGTCCCGGGCACGACCAGCCACCGACCCTCCGGGACGTCGGAGGCTGTCTCTCAGCGCCATCTAGTGGTCAGGATGGCTTGTTTTCTTAATAAGACCCTGAGCGCCTGCATTGGAACTCCCAGCCACACCTAGGCCAGATCTGTTCCCTTCCGATCTGACCACTGCATGCTTTGGTTACCTTGAAAAGTGATGATTAATGGATCTTTCAGATCTGCCTACAGTGGAGACTTTAAACTCTGCGTAATTTGTTCCTGTTCAATTTTGCATAGTTTCAGGGAAGGGAATTAGAAAACTTAGTGGTATTAAAAGACTAGGGTAAAGTAGGGAAGGAGGGAAAGAACATTCTCCCCCTTCCAAGCTCTGGACGTCCAGCTCCAGCAGTGCGCAGACCATTAGCTTAGCACTTATTCCAGGCGTCTCTCACCCAGCTGTGCCACAAGGACAGGGGACAGGAAGAACTCCTGCTGCACAAAGTGCAGGCTGTGGGTTAAGGATCACCTTTACTCTGCCACGGACAAAGTCATGGGACACGGAGCTGGAACCAGACTGCTTGGCTCAGAGTACCGAGGGAATCCACGTACTGGGAGCCTTGCTCATGGAGAGGTGAGCTTTGGAGTTTTCAGAGAGGTGGTGCAAACAGTGCACCTTTCCAAACGTGAATTTCCACATTTCCAGACCCTGAATTTCCTAGCCCAGGTCCAGAAGAGGGAACGCTAGTCCTTTTACCTTTACAGAGTGGGGGCCACCCAAAGGAATAAGGGAGAGCCGACAGACAGGTCTCGTACTTAAGAAAGGAGGTCAGCAATGGGGCAGAATACCCAGATTCCTAGGACAGGAAACCAACAGGCATCACTCTAGGGGTGACACTTGACTGCTGTTCCTTCTAACACTACTCATAGCCCCACTGGCCACTGGGGAAACTCTCAGATGGCTTCTGGAATGGTCTGATCCTGAAAGCAGGAATTTCCCTGCAGCGCACAGGGGATGGTTCTTACGTGGACCCAAGATCTCTGGAACAAAAGGTACTCTTGAGAACAGCATGGTTCTTTGGGAAGCAAAATTTTAGTGTTCAAATAAATCCATTGGAATATTCGGAATAAGAAATCTCCCTAAATATACTTGCCCCTCAAGCCAGTGGAATAGTAATGTACGTATGTAGCAATGTACATAAGGTTGGAAGCCATTTATAGAGGTGAAGACCACTAAAATTTTTCTAGGAACTTGTCCTGCACCCCAGATCCCTGCTTTCAGTGACAGGGTTTTATGATTCTTGTGTCCTTTCTTGAGCTACGTCATTCAATATTTCTTGCAATTTGTATTAGAAGAAAGGTGCTTGAAAAGACTGTATTGCCCCCCATATTTATAGCAGCAATAATAACAAAATAAAGAAAAAAGACACAATCTAAACGTCTATCAATTAAGACTTAGTAAGTAAATTATTATGATTCATCTAGAAAATAAAATGCTATGTATTGGGGCTGGCCCAGTGGCACACTGGTTAAGTGTGCATGTTCTGCTTTGGTGGCCTGGGGTTCACTGGTTCAGATCCCAGATGCGGAAATGGCATCACTTGACAAGCCATGCTGTGGTAGGCATCCCACATATAAAGTAGAGGAAGATGGGCATGGATGTTAGCTCAGGGCCAGTCTTCCTCAGCAAAAAGAGGAGGATTGGCAGCAGATGTTAGTTCAGGGCTAATGTTCCTCAAAAAAAAAAAAAAAAAAGCTATGACTATGCAGTCATTAAAATTTCTGTTGAAGAATTATATTTACCAATGTGGAAAGATACTCATTACTTAATGTCAAGTGAAACAATTTCTAGAAAAGTACGTATGATTTATTTTATATAAAACTGTATACATATAACTATTTGTATATCTATGATATAAATCTGAGTAAAAGACTTTTTCCTAAACCTTAACAGTGATTATCTTTGGGTATAGAAATTTGGTGTAATGTTTTTATTTTCTGCTTTGTTCTTTTCTATATTATGTGAATATTTTACAAGGAGTATGAATCATTTTTCTGATAAAGCTATTAAAACGTTTTAAAGTATTGATCTCATCAGTAAAGTAGAAAGCTGAGATTCAGGGAAGTTGATGACTAACCAAAAAAGCCATAATGTGCTGGTCAAAGAGCCAGAATTTGCCCCCATAACTTCCCATCCCTCAAGTTTAATGCGAACTCCTTTGACTCACTGCCTCCAACAAGTTAAGACCCTGGGGACGGATATGGCAAGTGGGGACCTGGGGAAGTTGGGATCAATGTTGAGATCAAAGGGGACTCACACACTTTTGATATTGCCTGGATCTCTGTTACCTCTTCAGAGCAATTAAGCTATGACCACAACAGCATTACTGGATTCCTATTATACACTATGTTCTTGTGGCCTGGCAATTGTCCACGTCTTGAAAGAGTAGACATAAGTCTGGGGAAAGAGTTAAGTTGGGCCCAGTTCTAATCCAAGCCCATTTTACATCCTGCAAGGGAAATGGCATATTCAGCCATGTTCTCTGCTTGGGGAGAGAAGGACCGTGAAGGTAGTTGGGTGCAGTCCAGAGGCCTGGCTTCGTGAGGTTCTGGGTTGGAGCAGCACAGTGAATGATTTCAAGGAGAAAGTCCAAGGAAGGCCCCTCTTCCTTCCCTCCACCCCTTCTCAATCCTCTACACCCACCCACATTTGTCCACACTCCTTCACTGCAGCACCAGAGACCCTCATGCCCCTTCCGTTGACATTCTTAGAGTTCCAGGACATCATCCAGCTCCATTCAGCCTGGTGGACATTTAGGACAGGGAGTGGGACCCACTGGGCCCAGTGTCTTCCTAGAACACAAATTTGGATTTAAATAGTAAAAGCTCAAGCATGTGCTGTAGTATTAATCTCCCATCATACAAATGCCCAGAGGGCACTTACCGGGTCAAGACAAGGCCCCTGAGCAACCAGTTCCTTTCTTAGCCTATGCACCCAAACACAGACATGCAGTTCCAGAACAAAGCACTCACCCCCCCGTGTCCTTCCTGTGTGTCATTGGAAACCCCGCTATTCTTCCCTCCTGTCCCTAGACCCTTCTGCTGTATTCTCTGGGTGGGGTCACAGCTCTATATCTGACATTACTGCCCACAGATATGGAAAAATACACCAAAGATGGCACTGCCCCTTCCCAAGTATGTATCTTGCTGATAGACGTAAGAGAAAGCAAACCTTGACCTAAGCTATGGGCAAGAAAGAGAGGCAGAGAGTTTTTGGACAGAAAGAAGTGTGTAAATTTGTAAATACTGGTCAGTTTTGAGCGAAAGCCCAAGAGTTGACTTTACAAATAAAGTGCAGTAGAGATAAAGTTGGATCACGGAAATACCACAGAACACAAATAATCACAGATCTTCCACGGCATGGGAGGTACAGAATTTAAAGCAGTCCCTAGGAGCACGAGGTAATGCTTTGTTATAGACCATCGTGTACTGTCTCATCTCTAAGGCGTAGGTCTCAATCTGTTTACCTGTATGACCCTAATCCTTAGCACCATGCATGGTACATTAATGCTTGTTGAATTGAATAACAACTCCCTTGAAGTCAGGAGTCCAATCCTCCCCACAGCACAGAGCTAGGGAAGAGAAGACACTAAATATATACTTATTAATTAATTAGCATCCGAGACTAATAGGACACCCCAATTGAACCAATTCTCCAGACAAGATAGAGTCCCTGGGATCAGCAACTCCTCAGGCATATGCAGCCTTCCCTGAAGGTGGCAGAGTTCTCCTACAAGGGCCAGGACAAAAAGAGTGAAAAGACTTGAAACAGGTTTTATCCTATCCTCCATGATGCAATCTGCACCCCCCACCTCCCACCCCCTACTGTGAAGCTGGGCTGCCTCTCAGACAGCTCCTATGGGAGAAACCTTTTGACTCAGATCTACAAATAGAAAGATTTCCCCCATTCTAACCCATCCCAGGACCTAGTGGGGCCGAGAATTGGGACTTGGATGAGATGTTGTGATAGAAATTCTTAACCTATTAATGTTGCCAAATCCCAAGATATCCTGCTGCAATCACTGCGTCTGGCTGAAATTTTTCTTTGAACTGATACAGTGAAGTTGGGACAGGCACACAGTGTCCCCTGGGGGAGAACAGCTTAGATAGCAGCATAAAAGCTTTTCGTTGCAAAGCCTCCTCATAATCAGGCTCGCCTTAACAATACCCCTTTGTCCCTCCTCAGACGACTAAACTCCTTGCATCCTGGCAAAGGGAGGCACGGAGGGGAGAGGTGACCAGTTTGAAGTTTGGTTTCTAATCTCCAGGGCAGAAATTCTTTCAAATTTGCCCAGCACCTGGGCTGACTGCTGGGTGGGAAATGAAAGCAGCTGGGGAGTGGGGGTGGCTCTCTCCATGGTTCCGAAGTTGACTCTATTCCGCACCCCCCCCCCCCGCCCCCAATCTATAACTTTCACGGTTGAACCCACACCTTCAAGTATGAAGTAGTGTAGTTTCAATGCGCGTGCATATTTTCACATTGATTTCTTTTAGCATTCGCTCCCCACCCCCTTAATTTACTGTTAGTCTCATGAACCTGCACTAATTTTCAGGGCTGTCTTAGAGCACACACATTAATATCTTAATGCTCTACGGATGAATTCACATTTTCACAGAATGGTGAGTTCTTCATTTTCAGGCTCAAGATGTTCACGAATACTGCATAGTCCTTATCCACTGCATTTTCTTTTTGATGACTGAAAAAGAGAGAGGACATGACTTTTGAATATCCCCAAAGTAGGAACACGCACATTATCTTGTGAGCTCTGTGGAAGTCCATACCCTCTTCCCACATAGACATATAAAGAGCAAACCTTCTGACAAACCTGCAGTCAACTTGACCATATCCCCAGGCCCTAAGTCCCCTCCCCTTCCACTGGTACCCCTTTCCACCCCTCAGAGGCATTTTGTAAACATTCAAGGGCATCCTTAACAACCTTTTGCACTTGCCTCCCTTATTACAGTTCACCCATTCCTGAGCACAGCTCAGAGCTGCACAGGTTCCTTAAAACGTCTGCCTGTCTCCAGCTCTAATCCAACTCCAGCATGAGCTTGATTTTATTCAGCATTCTATGCTTTCCTGTCCTGGTACTTTTCAGAGCTTCCTGCTACTTTCTCGAAGCTTATGTGTTTCTCCCTTTACCTTCTCTCATAGCCAAGAAGCTTACAGGGCAGTGGGTCAGATATAAATTCCCTGTGCTGCCTGCGCTCTCCCCACGTCATGGACGTTTGCTTTTGGGCTGCATAGCAACCTTTCTCTTCCTTTGGGCAACAACTCTCAGATTCCTCTTGCATTGCTTACCTCACAATTGTTGATGTGGGGTGCCGGTAGAGCTTACATCAGGGTATCCTTCTGGCTCTTCCCTGGCCAAGAGGTGAATGCCTTACTCAACTTAGGTAAATTTGACTCTTTTGCACTTGAACAGAAGTGATAAAAAGCTTGAAGTCCAGTTGTTCTGGCAGCAGAGCCCTGAGGAGACTCTCAATTACTTCCCATTACCTGCGCCCCCAAAGCTGTCCTGGTCCTAGGCTTTTCAAGGCTGTTTTGCCAGCATTCCCTCTAAATCTGTGAGCCACCTGATCATATCCTTCCAATAAATTCCTTTTAGACTTAAGATAGCTAAAGTCTGTTTCTGTCGCTTGCAACCAAAGAATCCTAATGATACAGGTTCTTAGCCATATTTTCTGAAAGACAAGAACTTTTCTCTCCTTCTAAGCAAACCATCCATAAAGTGTTGCTCTTGTCTACTGTAAGTAATTTTCTTGATGACTTTTAAGGAAAACAGAAAGATTTCTGTGTGCTTGTTAGAGAGGATAGGTTCCCTGGGGCTTACCCCAGTTATCTCCCTCCCACCTTGTTTTTCTGTAAAGCTGGTCCAAAATAATCTCAAACTCAAGATTGCCTTTGACTTCAATACTTTCTCTGTTCCTACCTCACTTCTTTCTTCCTTATCACAGCATCTGGGACAGACTATACATAACTCTCTCTTGGCCTCCAATTTCTATCTTCCATCTCCCTACCCAGGTCCTTCCTGATCTGGCTGTGGGCCCAGTCCCTCCACTGAAATCACCCTCTTGAGCCACATCTCTCCTGACTTGTGGTCAGAGGGCAACCCCCAGGGAACCAATCCTCTCTAACAAGTATACGGAAGTGTTTCTGGTTCCCCTTGAAAGTCATCAAGAAAATTAGTTACAGTAGACAAGAGCAACCTCTTTATGAATGGTTTACTTTGGAGAAGGGCAGAAAAGTTCTTGTCTTTCAGAAAATATGGCTAAGAACCTAACATATTCAAGCCACTTCGGAGACTACAAAGACACTTGAAAGACTCTCTTTTTCCCCGCCTGGTGGTAGAAGAGAGATGTGAAGAGAACCACCATTAACTGCCTACCACAGCGGGGTCATGTACCTGGCACTATGCCAAGTACCTGGCCTGCATCATCTTATTTATGCAGCTGTGGGGTTGGGTATTGTTGTCATTTCTATTTTGCAGATGAGGAAATAGACACAGAAAGGTTAAATAAACTGCCTTAAAACATCTGGCTAGGATGTTGAGTCTGAACTCAAATCCAGGTTGCTTTGACAAGACAAGAAGGCAAAGGAGGTGCTGGCATCCTCTGGTGTGTGCTAGCTCAACAGGGCTTAGTTTGTTCCATGGGCCTCCACTTTGAATCTGTACTTGAATCCCCAGAACCACCATTACTGAGTCTACTTCCGCAAGTCTACCCTCCCCACCCATTCCCACAACCCTGTATGCAGGTCTCAGTATTCTTTGGGTGAAAAGTCAGGGGACCCACTCATCACGACACATGCTACTTTTAGGTCTGCTTCTGCAGCAGACCACTCTGCCCTGTACACGCCTAATCTTATTTGAAATCTTCTAGCTGCAGGTGGAAAGGACCTTGGATGAGGTGGCAGAAGACCTGAGTTTGAACTGCATTCTGCCTTAACTAGCAGTATAACCCTGACCAAACCATACAATCTCACTGAGTCTTGATTTCCTCATTAATAAAATGGGGATAAAAATAGCTGCCTTACCCAAAGATAGAAGATATGTCAACTGTAAGGTATTATATAAATTTTTGTTAGGAAGAAATGATTCCTAATTTAGGAATGAGGAAGACCCAGATCATAGAATTAAGTCCTTGGGAGAGCTGGATAAAGCAGAGAATGGCTGATGCTAAGGCTTGTGCCTAGTTCCTAATTCTTCCTTCTTTCTGATTCTGTAACTTGTCCCTTGGCTTCTATATACTATGGCTTTTATACTAAGGATGAAAATATTAATATTATATATGAAAACATTCCCCTTGACCTCAAAGTTTATTTTTGTCTCTGATTTTAAAAGAAATTCAAACATTTTTGTGGGACCTGAAAATATTGAGGGCACTAGGCACTGTACCTACTGTGCCACATGGTTATGTTGCCCGGAATTCAGATCTTTAGCCTCAGCCCATTACGTGTTCCTCTGCACAGTGCTGCCTCCCAGAGCCAGAGGGAGCCGAGTCAGCTGCCAGCCACAGATTGAGAACTGGGCCTCCAAGGAAAGGAGGCACAGGACAGGTCCCTCTTCAGCAAGGGAGCTATGCTGCCAGACTAACTGAAGCCACTTCCTGCCAGGGTGTTCCTGAGAGGAGGCTGTCTCCTGCCTATCTGACAGTGTTCGAGGGACAGACGGCATGCCTCACTGGAGCCCTGACCCCTTCTCACCCCTCCCTGCCTTACCCCTAGTAGAAAACCCTTTCCTGTTGTTGAAGGCCTACTGTGCACTGAGGACTTTACATGCATTATGCCGTTGGGTCATCACAATATTCTTATGAAGTAGGTGATACTATCTCCATCTTTTTTTTTTTTAAAGATTTTATTTTTTTCCTTTTTCTCCCCAAAGCCCCCCATTACATAGTTGTATATCCTTCGTTGTGGGTCCTTCTAGTTGTGGCATGTGGGACGCTGCCTCAGTGTGGTTTGATGAGCGGTGCCATGTCTGCGCCCAGGATTCGAACCAACGAAACACTGGGCCACCTGCAGCGGAGCGCACGAACTTAACCACTCGGCCACGGGGCCAGCCCCTACTATCTCCATCTTACAGAGGAGGAAACTAACTCAGGGAAGCCAAGAGCTCTTGCCATTGATGGCATCACATGGCTGTGTACTTCTTAGCCTAGTTTGAGAAACTCAGCAAAACTCCTTCTGCCCCTGTTGAACTTTCCTTTTGGAAAGAATGACTCAGCCAGCCCAAGAACAGGGAGTGTATGGTGTAAGCTTAGAACTCCTCGTCCACATTGCCCATCCCTAGTTCGTGACGTATCTTTGCTAATCTCTGAATATTCTGGCCAGGAACAGGAGGTTGACAGTAGACCTGTGGCCCCATCAGTCAATTAGGGGAAGATATAGGATGGGATCAGGGTCAGACAGTAGGAAAGCAGCCTAGCTTGTCACCCAGAGTGGGGCAAGACCAGCTGGATAAACCTCAGTTCCCTTTTCTTTGAAGACTCTGTGCTGCCTTGGATCTCTGTACCTCTTTGTCACTGTGGCATGCGAGGAAAAGGGAGAGAAGGCTAGGAGAGACACAGCCATCAGACCTCTCAGATCAGGCCTAGGCACACATAGGGTCTGTGTGAGAATAAGAAAAAGGCGCCCCCTCTGGACAGATTATATACAAAAGGACACCCCTGAGGGACATTATGAATTTTTTTAAACATCCTTTCCTCTTGGCTGTGGCCCCCAGTGCCAGGACCCAGGCTTGGCCTGGAGGTAGGGGCTGGATTACATTCCCACTCCCTGCTCGGCCTTTCTGCAGAACCCAGGACCTGTCTGAGGGGCCTAACTCAAGTCAGGGGCCCTCTGTCACCAATTTCCCATATTCCATGTTCTAGAATCTCCAGGCTTTTCCATCTTCCAATAGAAGAATCTAGATTGACTTCAGAAAGGAAATTTCTGTTTAATCTTTGCAGTAGAAACCAAATTGTGGGCCTTGGAGGTTCAGACCTTGCCTTAGGCAAATTCCTTAACTTCCGTAGGCCTCAGTTTCTCCATTTTGAAAATGGGGATAATAAAAATGACCTTGCAGGACTGTTTCAATGAATGGACTGCACGGAACATAATGCTGGCACACAGTGGGTCTGCAACACCATGTGGAGCGTGGCCCTCAGGTAGCCAGGACCTGCAGGATACCCACAGCAGATGTTGTAAGCGCAGTCCCCACAACTCCTGCAAGCTGCGAGGTGAGTGGCCCCGGCTAGTCCTCTCCTCCGTGCTCTTGTAGACACCTCAAATGCAGGCGGGGTGGCGGGGGCCGGGAGGGCCCAGGAGCTCTGCACTGCAGCCACCTGCGCCGCGGCCCGGGCCGAGGGCGCGCTCCCAGGCGCCCAGGACTCGGCCGACTGCCGGCTGCGGGAGGCGGCAGGAGGCGGCGGGGTCGGCGGGGCAGCGGACCCGGCGGGTGAGCCCGCGAGAGGTGAGCAAGGAGTTAAGCCGGGCCGGAGGCAGAGCGCCTGTCAGACGCGAGCATGTGCAGTTTGCACCGCATCCGTACTATGGGTGAGTGCCGCCGCCGCCGCCGCCACCGGGGGCTCGGATCGGCCGGGCAGCGGCGGCTGCAGCCCCTGGCCCCCTCGCCGCCGTAGCGGGCGAATGCGGGCCCAGGCGCGGCGCCGGAGGGCGGGCGGCGTGGGGGAGGCACGGCCGGCAACTCGGCGCGGGGGGAGCCCGGACGCCGGGCGTGGGGGCGGGGAGCAGGCGGCGCAGGAGAGCACCCTGAGTCCCCGCGCCGGAGGAGAAGCGGGAGCAAGCCGGGGAGACGGCGCTCCTGGCCGCACCTGCACCCGGCGGGCGGCCGGCCCTGCCCCGCCCCGCTCCTGCTCGCGGCTCCGGCCCGCACCGGTAGGTGCCCCCGATGCCCGCAGAGAGGCCTTTCCGCCACCCGGAGAGGTGGCCGCGCGGGGCGGGCAGCGCCGAGCGCGGGGTCGCGGGCGATGGTGCGGTGATGGGGAAGACCGGGCGACCGGGCCGGGGGTGCTGCCGGATCCCGCTTCCTCTTTGCTTTCGGTTTCAAAGCGGCTGCCCCGGCTCGAGAGCGAGCCGAAGATTAGATGGTGCGCCCCGGCTTGGATTCCCTGCGGGGGATGGGCACACAGGGGGGCGTGTTGGGGAAGGGGTGCACGTTGGCAACTTTCCCCGCCTGAAACAAAGGGGCTTCGGAGAGATGCGAGGGGAAGGGGCCAGCCGGGGATCTCCGGCAGCGGAAGGTTGACACCCCCTCGGGAGGGCAGAGCGGGG